AAGACTCAATCGGCCTTATTACAAAACAAAGGTTTTCTTTAGCCTAGAAACAATTCGCTCCCATTGAAATGATAACATTGATTGAAGAAAGAAGCATCGGGGATGTTTGCTGAAGCAGGCAGTGCAGTAGCGAGACAGCCCCATTCACAACCTGAACGCATTTTCAACTAGACGTGACATATTTTACCCACCTTCTGAAACTGTATATGTACAACTTTATATAAAACAAAATATTAATAGATAATTTAAAATAGCCCCTCTATCCTCAGTCGTCCAAACCCCTCTCCGTAAATCCCTAACAACCCACAAGAGTCCAGCAACGCACTCGTAGTAACTCCTTTGTTATTCGGAGTGGCCATGGGTAGCGCTAATTGCTTACCATCAGGTAATCCGACCTATATCGACTCGAAGGCGGACTTATAAAATAAAAAAGTGGATTGATTTAATTTTAATAAAATTCACGAAGATAATGGCATTAACTGTATTTCGGTTTAAAAAGGTCATTCATTTTATCAGTATAAAACACAACTGCGGTTTTGTAGTAACACCAATCAAGAATTTTCTCGATAAGTGTTAAGTTTATACATACTCGATAATTGTATTTAAATTCGCAGCGTTATAATTAACTAAACATTTTCTTTATGGCGTTCAAAGTTTGTTGCATAGAAATTTCTTTAGTAAAATAACAACAATGATCCCGTGTCAGTGAATTAAGTATCAACATTTACATATGTATTTGTTTCCTTTGAAAACAGCAAAAATAGATTTCATGATGAAATATTTTGTTGTTTGCTGCAAGCCCAATTCATTTACATATGTGTATGGTCCCTTACCTGTTCTCGGGATAAAAGAAAATCTCATTTGCCAAAGTTCATTTGAACTTGAACAAAATTATTTGAATTTAGTAAAATTACAAGCATGCTACTTACTTATACATATGTTGTCAAACTTGATTACCTAGTTTGTGAGTGCCTTGTAACCCATTACCATTAATTAGACTAACAGAATGTAGGTACTTATGTTAGATTTTTATTTTATTTTTTGGAGGTAAAACTCATCAAAAGACTTCTACTTAAGTGTCAGACTGTTACTGACTAAAAACTCCCCGTTCCTTCTGCTGCTACAGACCGAGCCCGTAGTACCTTATTGTGCTTACCCGCAGCCTCGGCTAAACATCGGTCTGGATGGGCCCTATCTGTGGTGGTATACTGGCTTTTTGAGGCACGCGCGAGGTATTTTTTTTTTGTTAGGCGAAAATCATCGGATGTCTTCTCCCGCCCAGGGCCGGGCGGGAAGGAGTGTCAGACTCTTACTGACTTAAATCCCCCTGTACGTTTTCCTGCTCTGGGCCGAGGTCGCGGAGCCTCATTGCGCTTACCCCGTAACCGCAACCCCGGCTGACATCAGCCCTATAGGGCCCCGTCTGTGGTGGTCTATTGGCTCTTTGAGGCGCGCGCGAAACGCTAAGCGCCGTACGCTTACACCAAAGATCTCATTGGCGGTGGCACTGGCACTGGATCGCTTGATTTCCTAAAATATTGTTGAGTTGGGCGGTGCTGGTGTACGTGAACGAGCGCTGTCAATTGGGACTGGTCAGCTCCAAACTGTGTAAGTACATATATTGCCCTTAAGGTTACTTTCATTTTCCGTTACTTTAACTTAATATTAGTGTTACACTGATCTCACATAATGGAACCGACTTAATAATGTAATAAAAAGAAGTGTTTAAGAAACTAATTTTAAAAAAAAGAGCAACCGTAAAGTTTTTTGCTCGTTCTTCTCCATCAGTATTTACTCTTTGAAACGAGTAAATAGCGTCACTAAAAGGACTGACCGACAGACTGTCATTTTTTTCTTTAATCTTTGTTTGACGTCCAAAAGTGCATGTAACGGTCTAGTAGGAATAAATGATTTTGACATACATAGATATATTTTCACAAACTTTTCCATTTATATTGTTTTTGCTAAGGTATTCGACACCCTGTAAATAATCCCCGACAGCGGCGTCAGTAATTTCACATCCGTCAGCGTTATCAGACTCAACCTCTCGCATTTTCTGGTTCTAACAACTGTTAATAGCCTGTTGTGTTCTCCTGGATTATAAATAATATCTGCTACCTCTACGATCAGATGAAAACAAACAAATATTTAAAAAATACTCTAATGTTCTAAAAAAATGTATAAATAATTTACAATCGTTGAATAATCAAAAACATATAAATAACTCCAACAATAAAGGCAAAGCTACATGGGATGTGGTAAAACGTACTACTGGCCATGAAACCTCAAGGGATTACATTGAAGGGCTTATTGACGATAGCAATGTCCTAAATACATCTGGTTCAGACATTGCTAACATATTTAATAACTTTTTTATAGATATTGTTGAAAAGAATATTAGTACTGAACAGAATGGTATATCTAATATTAACACAAGTAATCACAGCATTTTTCTTGAGCCATCTAATCCATTAGAAATTTATCATATAATCAAGTCCTTGAAAAATACGAAATCATCTGGCTATGACAATATCACAACAGATCTTATTAAACTTATAGCACAGTCCATTGCACATCCCTTATCTTACATCATTAACCTGTCGCTAGAACAAGGCTGTTTCCCAGATAAAATGAAGGTTTCAATAATCAAACCTTTACATAAAAAGAATTCCAAAACCGATAAAAATAATTATCGCCCTATCGCACTGATATCCATTATCTCTAAAATTTTTGAAAAGGTTATTTATAAGAGAACACTAATTTTTTTAAATAAAAATAATGTCCTCAGCAACGAACAGTTTGGTTTTCGAAAAGGTAAGTCCACTCAGCTGGCAGCATTTAGTCTAATTAATTCAATAATGGACAGCATAAATATTAAAATATCTCCTATTGTTCTCTTTCTAGATTTAAGTAAAGCCTTTGATGTTGTTGATCATACTAGACTAATAAACAAATTAGATAAATATGGCATAAGGGGAATAGCTTTAGATTGGTTTAAATCATACCTAAATGGTAGAACACAAATAACAAGAATAACTAAATTTAATAGTAAAACCAATTTTCTTGAGAGCCATGATTCCAGTCCCAGATTCAATTACTTTGGAGTTCCCCAGGGGAGTATTCTAGGTCCCCTACTATTTCTAATTTATGTAAATGATTTTCCTCAAGTAGTCCACAATCATGAATGCGTCCTATTTGCTGATGATACATCTGTAATATTAAGTTGCAAAGATGAAAAAAATTATATAGCCGAGATACATCAAACACTAAAAGAAATTACTAAACGGCTTGATATCAATGCATTCAAAATAAATTTAGACAAAACAAAAATTATTAAATTCAGATCTTATAAAAGCAAATGTAAGCAACTAGACATTATTTGTAATAACACACCCATCGAACAAGTCCATAACGTTAAGTTTTTAGGTATTACAGTAGATGAACATCTTACATGGAAAGATCATATCGATACCGTATGCAACAAAATTAATAAATCTGTCTTTGCTATAAAAAGAATTAAAGACTCTTGTTCAAGACACACATCGTTAATGGTTTACCATGCCTATGTATGCTCCGTTATACGATATGGGATTGTGGTTTGGGGATATACATCAGATTTAGCACGGGTATTTATTGCGCAGAAGAAATGTGTTCGCGCAATTTTTAATGTCAAATGGTCGGACTCTTGTAGACCTATTTTCACATCAGAAAAAATATTAACTGTCCCTAACATTTATATTTATGAAGTGGCTAAATTTGTAAAGTCCAATATTAAATTATTTAAAAATAAAAACAATACAAACAAGCGCAAAGTAACTCATTCGTATTTAAAAATGCCTGCTCCGCGACTTGAGATGTGTAGACGAAGTTGTGTGTACATGGCGCCTTTAATTTATAACTCACTGCCTCAGAACATAGTCGATCTGCCCTATCAGAAGTTCTGCAAGACTCTAAAAAATTGGTTGATAGAAGAATGTTTTTATTCGGTTGATGAGTTCCTAAAAAAGTATTCTTCTCAGTCTTACCATTTTAGGAATGCATTGTAATTGTTATTTACCTACCTGTATTTTACTTTTGTGTTTCTGTATTTTACTGTAAGATGTCGAACGTTTTGTACCAATGTATTGTAATGATGTAAAACAATAATGTGCATTTTACTTGAACATTTGCATGCTGTTTTATAACTGCGGAATGTGTCTAGCTCTAAAACATATATTAAACCAACTCTTGTACCACATTTTATGCAAATAAATATATTATTATTATATATTATTATTACGCTGAGTAGGGGATCACAATTTAGAGGGTCTGGTCTTTTCAGATTATCAAAGACCACAGTTGAGCGGCGGTGGCGTTGTGCACTGCTTGGGATGAGCACCGCCGTGTACTCAGGAGTGTGATCGGCAGAGGCAATGGTGCGGAGTGAGTAGATCTGGAAACCTGTCGCCCTTTCGGCGAAGCAGTGATGCTCTAAAGGAGCCGGAACTCGTCAGGGAACTTTCCTCCTCATGACCCAGCCACCGCAGTAGAAGACACTGAGCGTCGCGATCCTGCGATTTCCTGCCAGTGTAAGCGCTGGTCGGCGGACTCCTGCCCCGCTAAGTGCGAGAAAACTCAAAAACCGCATGAAAAGTAAACAAAATATAAAATATACGTTCTACCCACTCCACACGGTTTCTCCTGTGTTAGTGTTTCATTATCTTCGACTGTCTTAAAAAGGACCGGGTATTAATTCTACATGGTCATACGCTCCAAGCGTTTCAAAAACTATTTTCAATAGATGGAACCCGAATAACAGACTTTAGTTGTTGACGTGCGTCGATGGAATAAGTAGGTAAATATGCAAAATTGTACGCATCTAATTGCACGTAGTTCTATTCTGTTGAGATGCCTAATTTTAATTCGTAATTTCGTCATCTTTACAATGAAGTATGTAGGTATGTCAACATGCATTGTATCTGAAAATATCTATGAATATATTTTCAGACACAATAACTACAATGCAGTATGCAGGTAGGTAGGTACCTACCTACTTTGTTGGGTACAAAGTCACCTCATGTTTGTAAGAACAGGATAATTTTAGCTTATATAGGACACGTGCTATCTACCTTCCTGTATAAGTATGACAAAATGCAAATATCATTAGAGATCTGAAAGATAGTGAGCATACAATAAGAAGACATGTATTCAGGACATTACTTCAGTTAGTTCTTTGCAAGCGAAGGCGATGTGGCCCATCATAGCACTCTCAGTTCTATACCTTTTCTTTGTGCTAAATTCCAAATTTGGAAGACCACGTCTCTATCCTCCAGGTTGTATTCTTAAAAAAACAATTCTAGCAAAATTCTAGAATATAATATTTAATTGTTTTATTTTAGGACCAACGCCTTTACCAGTATGTGGGAATTTGCTATCTGTTGCTCTTAAGTTAAGGTCTAACATTCCCCATCATGTATTATGGCGATCTTGGGCTCACGTCTACGGCAACATTCTTGGCTTGAAGCTAGGATTCATCAACGTAGTGATTGTATCTGGGAAGGAATTGATTAAAGAGGTGTCCACACGTGAAGTGTTTGATGGCCGCCCCGATGGATTCTTCTTCTTGATGAGATCGTTCGGTAAAAAGCTCGGTAAGTGCCAACATTTTTTTTTCTGGTACATATTTTACAATATTAAATTGAAGACGAAGAAGAAAAATAGGAGATAGTACCATTTAAGTCTTAAAATTAAGTACTGAATTATTATTTCATTTTAGACTTATTACTGCTACCAAGCAAGCAATTAAAAGTAGCACTAATTTATTATGAAAGTTGTTACTTTTCTCTTAGTCTGTGTTTTATGAGCCTTAATTGCTTGAAACAATGGATACGTTTTTTTGTGAGGGCGAAATCATGTACTAATTTCTCACGCCCAGGTTTAGGTGGGACAGCCGGGGTTGCAGGGCTAGGGCAACAAGGCACCGTGGGCTCAGCCCAAAGCAGGAGATGGAACGGGGGGCTTTTTAGTCAATAAGAGTCTGACACTACCTCTCGCCAAACCCCTCGAGATGTCATTTGATGATGTTCCCCTTACAAAAAAAAGCAATTGTCAGACTCTCACTGACTAATCCTTATTCGTTCGCCCCTTTTCTTCTTCTGCTGTAGGCTGAGGAAGCCATACCTTAATGGACCTTTTTTTAAACTAAATATGATATAATGCTATCTTATTAATTTTAGGGATAGTCTTCAACGATGGACCGTCTTGGTCTAAAACAAGACGCGTAGTACTAAAATACTTGAAAAGCTTTGGATATAACTCGAAGTTCATGGAGAGTTACATTGCCGAGGAGTGTAGAGCACTCGTTAAACTAAGGACGGGCGACGCCGGGCAGCCGATACTAGTTAACAGCATGTTCAATATCTCGATCGTGAATATACTGTGGAGGCTTGTCGCTGGAAAAAGGTCACAATATACCATATTATATAGATATTTATTTTTATTGACATTTTTGTATAAATTAGCTATTTAGACAATAGGTATTTGGATATAACTATGACACACCATATGATTTAATTTATTTTATGTAACGAATTCGCATTATTTCTGTAACATTCAATTCTATTTATTATTTATGTCACACACTGTTTCTAAAACAATATTTCCACGTGCAAATTTTATCTCGGAATAAAAAGAAACTTTTCGGATTGCACAATAATTATAATTCAACAACTCCGATAGTGTTAAAAATTGGTCTTAATTTTTATCTGTTTAAAGAAAAACATTGCTAATTTATTCATTTATGAATTCCAGATACGATTTAGAAGACAGAAAGCTAAAAACATTATGCGACTTGATAATGAGGTTGTTTCGCGCTGTGGACATGAGCGGAGGCATTCTGAATTTTATGCCATTTGTGAGACATATTCTACCAGGTCTTTCAGGGTACACAGAACTGACATCCATCCACAAGGCTCTTCATGACTTCTTGAGGGTAAGTAGATGTAAAAATGAGTAAAAATTACGCACGGACGAGGTCAAGTTCACAATAACAAAATATGTCAGCAAATAAGATAAGTTGTTATTCAGTTCAGGGCCTTGTCTTTTGCGTAAGAACCTCTGGATAGTGTTGACAGCTTTATTTTTTTGTTTATTCTTACTATTTTTACTTTATATTATAATTAAGTACAATGGAATTGTAATTTAAAATAAGAAAATTATACATAATTGACACGAGGACTACCGATACTATGCCGTCGCAACAAGATTAGTATTACAAGTAGTCTTACTGTAACTTGATAACTAATATGTTATTAATACACTACCGCTACTAACAGAGAAAAATATGCCAAACTTAAAAAACAGGCTTGGTTCAAGAAACGACAGAACAGACACGTGTCTTCGAAACAAAAAATGTTCAGACACGTGATTTTATTACTAATCGTAATTTGGCATATTATTGTTATAGGTTTAAAGAAGAACAAAAGTTAACAGTCCCACTTTGTTTATATTTCAAACAATGAATGAGGTCTAAAGTAAATACCTAACATAGAACTTCCGTCCGATAAAAAAATGTCACATTAGCAGAAGCTAGACTACAGTCAAGCCTATGTGTTATATATAGCCATAAATATATCCAAAGAAGGCATTGCATTATTTAACTATTACAACTATTACTTATCAGAGGTCGCGCACACTTCCTACAGTTAGTCGGAACGCGTATACAATAGTAATTAATGCAATTTTATGCGTTTGCGTAATCAACAGGAAACCATACAAGAACACCAACAAAACATCGACGTCAACAACCCCCGGGACGTCATAGACGCCTTTCTCATTGAGAAAATTGAATGCAAAGATCAATCCTGTACGTATTTACTTATAACTGAGCCTTATAAAGTAAGCTGCCGCTGTTTATCTTAAAATAGATAATATATAGTCCATTGACGCAAAAAACTTGTCGAATGACAAACAAAATGTTTTTATCTTCATCTCCAGCGACTCATATATCATATTAATGTTAATTACTAGCTTAAAATGAAATGAACACCCTAATTTGTTTAATTAATTGTTTTTATTTTGCTATTTGATATTTATTAGTCATTTGATGAGTTACTAATTTATTGCAAGTTAATAATCAATTAGAAATCATGAGAGTCAGTGATCGATGATCATTGCTGATAATTATATTTTTGCTTGTTGATTTGTATATCATCCCTTAGGTCAAATAGAATAAAATGACAAGTTTCTATACAAACTTTCAAGTTTATTCCAGTCCAGAAAATTAATTTACTACCTAATTAAACATTTTTGACATAATATTACGTAGTTGGCAGTTGCCATGTTTTTGCCCTCAAAGCTTGATTTGAAAACCGTATAATAAAATCCGCCATTGTACAATATGTAGGTACATACATATTGTGTGCAAAAAGAATTAAAAATAATAATCTCTTTTCCTTCCTAAAATATATTACGATGTTGCAATTGGTAAAAACTAACAAGCGGCAAGGAAAATTCTAATATCTTGTCTTGGTATTTCAAATTGTCATTAGGTATAAGTTGGAAAACGTTAGCGGTAACTAAAACATACCGTAACGTGCAGTTACAGATGAGGAGCTTCAAGTTGTCTGCCTGGACTTGCTGGAGGCTGGCATGGAGACTGTCTCCAACACGGCCGTGTTCATGCTCCTTCACATAGTCTGTAACTACGATGTGCAGCGAAAATTACACCATGAAATCGATGACATCATTGGCCCACTCCGACCTCCTGCACTAAGCGATCGAACAAGGTTCATTGATTTATTGCACGAAACCATTTCTGAGAACTTTTTATTTATTGATAGTCGTCAATGGTGAAAGTTTTAATATGGTAATAAACTTAATTGATATAGGAAAGATCGGTAATGACGAAGAACTCAGACATCAAAATATCAACACAGTTTAGTTGCCTTTTTACACGACTGCCCGAAAAAGGAATGTTATGTTTTTTTATATTTTCTTATCCAACTAAATGTATGTAGTTAAGGTTGTTCAGTCAGTGCAAATAACATGAGCCGGTTTCGAGGTAAGCGTAATAACGCGGCTTCGGCTTAGAGAAGGAGAAAGAAGGGCTTTTTAGTCAGTAAGGATCTGAAACTCGTTCTCGGCCCAGCCAGGGCGTGGAAAGTCATTCGGCGTGACTTTTATCGCACATAGTTGTTCCTTGACTCACATCCACATTGGAACATTTATATTCGACTTGATTTGTACACTCTCCGAAAGAATTCCTAGTTACATTTAAGTGTTGTAACAACTACTGGCGGTTCTAATAAATATAAATACATTCCTCTAATCATTAATAATTCAGCGCTCATAGACAAATATCTCCCAAGAATAAAATCAGTTATCTTTAGATATCTACCGAAAACCTTAGTCCCTTTTCTTCTCCGTCAATTGCTGCAGTCTTTCCGTCCAAATATAATTTAGGTGTCTTCAAGGCTAAAGTGAATAGTCTCTTAATAAACTAGTGCGCCTTACCATCAACGATTGCATCACTGCTGCACACTGCAAAAATTAGAAAGATCTGATGGTTGACCTTTCAAAGCTCTTTAAATTTCATAAGGTATCTAATAACTAAGCCATTTGATGTAATTTGTAACTGTTTGTATAGTATGGTGTACACTGAGGCAGTGCTTTTGGAGTCATTGCGGATATCAAGCGTGGCAGCCATGGGCATACCGCACATGGCGCTTGACGACGCAAGACTTGGCGATTACATTATACCCAAGGTAAAGCAATTACTAGACACAATAAACTTTAATTATAATTTTACTTGTACACTTTTATTGAGGATAAGGTGCAAGTTCATCGGAACAATAGCTTTCTTAATATACAAATGGAATCTTTTCGCTTACCTAATTGTTTGATAAGCGATATAATTTCTCACGTAAATCTAGAATTTCAATCTTGGATAACCTTCTTTGCAAGGACAGTTTACATAATGAACTTAGAAATTAATTAAAGAATCTAAGGCTAACTTTAGATGACATAATTTTAGATGCACTTACTGATTTGATGGATTTTTTTAGCAGATTAGTTATATTTAAGAAAGTACTTCCGGCTCATGCACTTATTATTTGAAATTAAAAAAATAACATAGTATAGTATCTACAGCTCACGCGCACATGCGCTGCTCATGAATAAGAGTCCCGTTTTTAACTTGAAAGTAGTAGAGCTTTTTTAGTTAAGTGACGTAAGTCGCCATTTTCGAAAAAATTATGTAGTTGGTCTCAGGTAGGTAACGATTCAATAACTAGATAGCTAATTCTTAATACTTATTTTAATTTCTAGTAATTATTATGACAAAACTAATTAATTACTTGTAAAATGGTAATTTAGTCAAGGAGGATTTCCCTAAAAAAAACACCAACCACAATCGGTAAAATTCCGGCGTTACTCTCTAATAGTGTTCAGCTAATGACTATTCATAAATTAAGTAATTCCATTCGGTTTATTCGCGTTTATTTTCCAGGGTACCTTCATACTCCTGGCAATGTTCGATCTTCACAACAGTCCTCATTGGACGGATCCTGACGTGTTCCGTCCGGAGAGATTCATCACCAAAGACGGGAATTTAATCCAAGATGACTCACTCATGCCGTTTGGAGCAGGTTACTTTTATTTTACTTACAGTTAAGGAGACAGTTTTCAGTGTAGGAGAGCCATTCTTCGGCACGAATGGGTCAGCTCCACCGGAGTGACACCACGGCCTTTCAAAAAACCGACGGAAAACAACGACAACATTGTGTTGCGCCGCATAAATCAGGTTAAGGCCCAATCCTTCCCCCTTTCTAATCCCTTAAACCTCAAAACCCTTTATCCCCATAAGGTTTGTAACGCACTAGCTTTTGCTCGTCTGGCGTTGCGTCCATGGGCGGCGTGGATAGCTTACCATCAGTTAAAGGAAGAGAAGACTCCTTTGTCGCAGTATTACATTAAAAAGACGGAATGGGTGACGATACAATCTGACATGTGCTTATTGGGGCGTAATTGATGTTTTAGTTACTATATACGTTCGCGAAAAAGGCCGGCTTTACTAACGGTTCTCACTATGAACATATTTTAATGAGTAACCCATTATCTATTTTATAATTAACAATGAGGCTCCGAGTAGTAGTAATATTAATAAAATCAATAACACTTTTGACTGGCTTCACATTTCAAAATAAGTACCGAAAAGTCTCTGGTAGGTAGGGTAACAATTAGTACTTAAATCGATTTTCTTTAAATTAAATAAAACAGTTTTTCTTTTTTTAATAAATAATGCTGTTATTTTTTTTAGGAAGAAGACGTTGTATCGGCGAAGGATTGGCGCGTTCCGAACTCTTTATGTTCCTCACGCATATCCTACAAAAGTTCTATTTGAAGATACCAGATGGCGAAACTGTGCCGTCTCTTGAGCCTAATGATGGTCTTTCGCTATCAGCCAAACCATTCAAAATAGTATTTGAAAGCAGAAATAATATGTAGTATATATATTTGGTTATAATAACCATTAATTTGTACTATTAGTAAGTAGTATAAAATAACATGAGCGATGACTCATTATAGCGGACGGATAAAAAATGATTTACTTAATTAAAATGTAGAGACCGTTTCTTCATTAATAAAAGGTCGTTAACACTTACAGAACTTGTTTTATTGACGACAGAAAAGGAGTTATTGTGAAATAAGGTTCATAATGACCAGGTTGCTACGTAAGTACCTTCGGATTCTTGAGTTTTTTTTTACCACAGGACTAGGAATCTATTCCTTCTATTTTTTCAACAAAAGCGCATAAGGTAAAGTGGCCATTACTTAGTCATCTTTTATAATTCGTTAAAAAAAGGATGAAAGTTCGACAAACACACAAACTGTACATTACAAAGTTAGTTCTGAATAAAATACTAACTAAGGACAAAATAGCGGTCATTTACATTCGTTATTTTAAAGAACACAGGTAAAATTATAAAATAATACCCCTTTTAGTTAACCTTACTCGCCTATTACAGACAAAATTAAGATTACGATACAAACTCGCTTCAATGTACGAAGGGCGGTAAGGCTCCTCACTGAAAATCAATGTGTACCGCGCATGCGTTACAGATTTTCTTCCACGACTGTCAAGAGGACCGGCGATGTACCTACATTGTTTATTATACAGTGAATATTAAATATACTGAAAACAAATCCATTCAAAACAAACGAATACTTTAGCTTAGACAAAAATAAATAAAACCAATACGTTTAAAGTTTTCTCCAGTTAAGTGAACGTGTAACATAAACAGTTTACAACATGATTAGGTGTCGTAATTGATTTCTTGTTGAAGATTTAAATAAACAATTTCATAAAGAAAATAAGCGAAAATGTTAAATAATCCTGCTCTTGTATATAGCTGTTACAGTGTTAAGTGATATTTTACAATAAAAAGTTGTAAATAATTGTAAATGGTAAATAAGCCATGTAAATATTAGGCGTAGTATTGGCATAATGAACGAGACTTTAGGTCGCGGGTACGCCCGCATTGAGGCGATACGCGCGGCTAGGGGTGAGCCCCTGTCCTCGATGCCGGACCCGGGGGCACCGCCGCCGGACCGGTACAACTCCGTGTACCTGACACTCTTTGTCGCCGGAGCTGCCTTCCTACTGCCCTTTAACAGGTAACAGAGAAAAAAATTAACTTTAAATGTCATATAAATATTTGTGTGGGTAGTTATACAAATAACGTCACAAGTTTCGAACTCGACCCAAGTTGAAATGAATGCAAGGACGACTAGGCATAAGGACAATATTTATATTTAGTGTATATGTATGATTGTTTCGTAACAACACTCCTCAGATTATTCTAAGCAACAACATACATATTTCCTTTCTATTTATCTTTTAAAAACGATCATTAGCCCTATGACCTTTGTATTTTCTTTCTCTTTCTATCTTTTTCTCAGATTATGTTTATAAATAACTTGATTTTGCAATATCAAATTTAAATACCTATTATGGTGCGTAGTATAAATATTTCCATCTGGACTAAACATTCGATGTAAATTAGCAGTGTAATGTTTACTAGTAGTGTAGTAGTGTAATTATTCTAAAGCACAGACACGATTCAAAAAGTTTCTATATAAACCTGTCTAAACCTTAGTCAAGTTATTTTTTATAAAAGCTTGTTAAAAATCCTATCATATCATGTTTTTAAAAACTTGTAAATGGCCTTCAAGTGTCCTATTACATCTTCTAGCTGTAAGTATTTTTTTTTTTTTTTTTTTTTGTGTTTTGGCTCGCACGGTTTGTGCATCTGCCACTACGAAGTAAAGATAGGGAAACGTATTAATTATGAAAGGAAACCGGATAGGGAAAAATTTTGCAGGATCAGAGAGAGAGGATTTCAGGATATATTAAACGGGTTACATAAATATCTTATAATTTTATATTATTATTAGAAATAAAAATAGACATACATTTATATATATTAATATCATTATAAGACAAGAGGCAGGGGATGGAAGTAGGCATAGGAACATTAAGAGATAATAAACAATGAATGAAATAACTGCAGTTGTATTTTTGGCAGGCAAAGAAAATGTGGTTCAAATCTCCTACCGCATCAGCTCCACAGTCACATATATCACTATTAATAATACCAAATTTTGCTAAGTGAGCCGGTGTACAAACATGTCCCAGTCGCATTCGTATAAGACAAGAAGTCACAACTTTGTTAAAATTCATTTTAAAAAACCAGGGTTTAACAGGAATACTCGGTTGAATCTGCTTGTATAATTTCCCTTTGACCTGACTACTACTGTTCCAGTCCTGCGTCCAAGAATCGTACAAATAAGTTTTAGGGAGGGCTGCTAAATCGTGAGCGTAATTTTTATAAGGAAAAATGTCACCACTGCACACAGCCTCATTAGCAACATGGTCAGCTTTAACATTCCCTGCGATATTAGCGTGACCAGGAATCCAAACAAGGGCTACTTGTAACCCCATGGAGATACATCTGTTTAAGAGTTTTCTACAGTCAAGAATGATTGGATAACAATTGTTTGATTTGAACGGATATTTGGCTAATGCCTGAAGGGCGCTTTTGGAATCAGAAAAAATAACAGATTTTTTAAGTTTTAGAAGAAGGATGTATTCCAAACATTTGAAGATACCGTAACATTCTCCTGTAAATACTGACGTTTCAGGAGGAAATTTGACCATCTGGATTATTTTATATTGCTTATGGAAAATACCAACGCCTACATGTCCGTTCCTCAGATGTTTAGAAGCATCAGAATACAAATGATGCCAATTCTGCCAGCGACTGTCGACGAGAAAATTGAATTTGATGTTAGTGTGTGGGTCATTTCTAGATAGCTCAATATCAAGAGTGATATCCAACGGTAAAACTAATGACTCATAGTCTGATGAGAAAATAGGGAGATAAGCTGATCGGTGCGTGGGAGCTTGAAGTGAGAGGAATTTGCGAAAACTGAGTACTAGACAGGGCGGGTTTTTTTGAGCCCAGTATGGAGAAGTATTAACATATTCAGATAAGTTAGAAAGTTTAGAATAAAGAGGGTGGTTAGCTAACTGGAGAGCTCGGAACAAAAATTTATCGCTCAAAAATTGGCGTCGGAGTCTTAAGGGAGGATCTGCGCATTCCACCTGCAATGCATTAATCGGGCTTGATTTCATGGCACCCGTCACAATACGTAGAGCTTTTGCTTGGATAGCATCTAGTTTTCGGAGTCCAGTAACATTACACGGTTCTAAGAATTGAGTTCCATAATCAAGAATGCTTCTTATTATGGCATTATACAGAAGCTTTAAACTAAAGGGGTGGGCGCCCCACCATACACCAGATAAACATCTTAAGATGTTGAGCAAACGTTCGCATCTGTTGACAATACAATAGCAGTGGGATAGTCCGGTAAGTTTAGAATCTAATATGACACCTAAAAATTTGGCTTCATTGTTGGCAGGCATAAGGGTATTATTATAAAAAACAAAGATTGGCGGGGGGCATCTCATTCTGGAAAAAAGAACTACAGAGCTTTTTGGAACCGACAGGGACATGCCATTAGCATCTAACCATAACTTTAAGGATGTAAGAGAAGTAGTAAGTATGTCGCACAACCTGTTTATATTATTTCCCGATGCATATATGAGAAGATCATCAGCATACTGCAAAATACTGATATGATTGCCTAAGGATGCTTCTAAATCATAACAGTAGAGGTTAAAAAGAAGAGGCGATAACACAGAGCCTTGTGGCAAGCCGTTCCATAACACCCTTGATTTCTTATTCAAATTTTCGTCTATGACATGAATACTTCGTCCAGATAGGATATTTATAATGAAATTTATTAAAATTTGCGGCACATTAAGAATGCGTAATTTATCAATAAGAATTGATAAAATAACGTTGTCGTACGCGGCAGAAATGTCTAAGAATGTGGCTAATAGGTGGTGATTTTCAGAAAAAGCTAGTCTAATATCTGTTGTAAAAATAGCTATGCTATCTGAAGTGCTTCTACCTTTTCTAAAACCGAACTGACTGTTGTTTACTAACCCTTTGCTTTCTATGTACCATTCAAGTCTATTCTTTACTAAATGTTCCATAATTTTGATTAAAACTGAAGAAAGAGCAATAGGACGATATGATTCTACGTTTGATGAAGGTTTGTTTGGTTTTAGAATAGGTATAACTTCTTGCACTTTCCACGACGGGGGGATACTACCCGAAAACATTATCGAATTGATCAGTGCGAGATGGTAAGACAAAAACGAATCAGGCAGATTACAAAAGAAAGAGTATGGAATGCCATCTAAACCTGGGGCAGAATCTTTCACGTAAGAGAGGATTCCCTTAAGTTCTGTAAGCTTAAAAGGAGCATTGAGGCCAGTATGTTCTACGTCAGATAAAGATTTGTACAAAGCAGTGTAATTGTGAGGGACAAAAGCAGGGGCTAATTTATCTAAAAAGACATCAGTTAGTTGTTCGGGAAGGAAAGGTGGTTTCGGTTCTTTATAAACGGATCTGAAACGTCTTATATTGGCCCAGATGACTGATGGGGGAGTATCAGGACATAAAGAAGAACAGAAGTTTCTCCAGCTTTCCCATTTTTTTTTCTTGAACAGCTTCCTAGTATCCGCAGAAATTCGAGAAAAGATTTCAAGGTTTTCTTCAGTAGAGTGAAGAATGTAGGTTCTCTCAGCCTGTTTTCTTTTTTTTATAGCCTCAGAACATTCATTGTCCCACCAAGGTGGAGATGGAATTTTATTAGAACCGTGTTTTTTTGTAGGAAAAGACTCATCAGCTGCCTCTACTAGAACACGGGCTAAAGCTTCCGCACACTCAATCTGATTACTATTATCGACTGGTGGAAGAGATGAAACCTTTTTTGTCACATTTTCTTTGAAAAGGAACCAATCAGCATTCTTTAAATTATGTTTGAGACGTGGGGATCGAATGTTCACTGCATTATTATCTGAAGGAAAAGTTACGACTATAGGATAATGGTCACTTGCATAAGTTGATGTTAGGGTTGCCCATGATAACAGGGAGGATAGGCTAGCGCTGGAGATCGTTAAATCAGGGACACTTTTCCCTTCATGGGGACCAGTGAGGCGAGTAAAGTTACCAGTGTTAAGTAAGCATAAATTATTTCTATCTAAAAATTCTAAAATCCTGCTGCCATAATGATTAGAATAAGTGCTTCCCCATGACTGATGCTGAGCATTGAAATCGCCCATTATCAGTATCGGTTTAGGTATATTTGCTAATAAGCTTTCTAACTCATCATAAACTAAAGAGGATGGATCAGGAATATATACGGAGACAAATGAAATATTATTTATAGATGCTGCTACAATGCCAATTTTATTACTATGTTCAGGAAAATTTATACGAGAGAAAGGGACATTATTTTTAATGAGTAAGGCAACACCAGCGTAGTTGTCGAATCTATCTTCTCTTAGACAGAAATATCCAAATATTTTAAAAGTATATTCAGGCCGTAGCCACGTTTCCTGTAGAGCCACCACAAAAGGCTCTAAAGAATTTAACAAATAAATTAAGTCGCTTTTCTTATTATTAATGCTCCTGCAATTCCATTGGATTACTTGAGACTTCTTTCCCATAATTAACGTTATTTGGATTCATCATAACATCATTTTTTAATATGGCAACGTTGGACGGTGACAGCAGATTGTTGTGAGATAAAGAGGTTATGAGTGTGATAAGAAGATCTTTAATTGATAAGTTTGCAAGTGAATCATTAGATTGAACATTATTATCGCTATTTACCAAGATACTTTTACTAGGCGCAAATGGGGTGTTGTAATCTCTTGTCAAAGTCTCATGTTCACTACGGTTATAACCTTTACTTGGTCTATGTATAGTTTTTGGTTTTAAGAAAACTGTTTTTTTATAAGAATGAGTTGTTGTATTATTTTGCAGATTAGGTAGATTGTAACTGAAATTGTGAGAATTGTGAGAGTCTTGCTGATTAGGTTTAACAGTCATTAAAACATCGGCATAAGATTTAGAAATCGGGGGATGTAATTTTAGAGCCTCAGAATAAGTTATGCAACTCTTTGCCATTGTCTCTTTTATACTCTTTTGTCTGTTATATTCTGGACATTTTCTACTGGTTGCCATGTGGAAACCAGAACACAAGAAGCAAGTAATATTTTCTTCATCAATTTCACAGGTATCTCCTGTGTGACCGTGACCACATTTAAAGCACCTTGGCAAAGATCTACATTGGCTTTTGACGTGTCCGTATCTACAGCACTTAAAGCATTGGATTGTTGGATATATGTACAGATCAACAGGTAGAGAGTTGTAACACAAAAATATCCTTTTTGGCAAAACCTGTCCATCAAAAGTTACAACGACTGTCTCAATTGGAGTAAATTCTGATTTACCATTAACTGTTGTTTTTTTCTTTAACCGCCTAACCTTTAACACACTACCACATCCAGTAGGAACACTTATGTTCTTAATGATTTCATCATCACTCCAGCTGACAGGGACACCTCTTATCACACCCATACGAGTAATATTGGATATTGGAATAAATGTTTTGTAATTATACTGTTTTAAAATGTCATTATTAAGGAAACTGTTAGCATCTTCATAGTTAGAAAAGGAAATTGAGAGCCTATTTCGTCCTACCCTTTTAAGACTTCCGTTTATTACATTTCTGAAACAATGTTTTTTAAGAAAATAGCCAAATGACACTGGGTGCATGGTGCAATTTTCATTAGGTGTTGATTGTTCCTTCATCACATGTACAACATATGGAGACAGGTCCGTGGAAACATACCGAGGCCTAGCAACCGGGGCACTAGGCTGTTCAGTTGGTGGAGGCTGGACATGTTGAGATACATTCGACTCATTCAACAGTGGGGTGCTGCTGTGAAGTGGAGCTGGAGAGGTGAAGTTATTACCCAAACTTTGTGTAGGCACAGCCATTTCATCATCAAAAATACACTGACATTCATTCGAAGGTACAGGACCATCTACTTTCCTGTGCTTTCGCTTTTTCTTATTACATTGCTTACATATTTTCCTAACTGAAACTCGTTTACGTTTAAGTGTGGAAGTATTTGTATTTTCAGAAGCATCTGTGTCAAAAAATGAGCCATCTGACTCTTCTCTAGGGGGACAGTTTGGAGGATATGTAATAAAATTGGAGGCCTCAGGGACCTCCAGTGGCGTTAATCCACCACCAGGATCGTCAGGGGGCTCATTCATGTTATGAAGTTTACTCACCAAGAACTCGCCGAGATGAGGACTTTATATAAAATAATACGTAAATATAGATAAAAGAGAAGCAAAATATATATGCACAAAACTCCTTATCTGATCCTTATTTCAAGAAATAAAATTCGCAGCCGAAAATAGACGCCTATTCAGTTCGCAGTTTCCCGCCCTTTCTAAAAAGAATAAAAAGAGGTATCTGTAAGTATTCCGAAAATGTTTAAATAAAAAAATTTTTTTTTTTATTACTTAGGTACCTGCTTTTTTGGTAACCAGTTATTTGTCTAACATTTCAGTTTCATCATGGCCGTCGACTACTTCCAGATGCATTATCCTAACACGACGATTATGTTCGACATGTCCACTGTGTACATAGCCTCCGCCTGCGTCGCTGTCTGCCTCAACAACCTCCTTCTGGATCTGTTCACCTACAATACTAGGATCACTTTTGGTATGTAGGATACTAAATACAATTAGTGACGGTTAAGTTGTGTCTTAAGCTGGAACCTTCATCTTATAAAGGCTTAAACATATACAAAAATAACACTTTCATTAATTAGGTTTACGATATATTTTCTATATGTATTTTGATAGGATACTCAAGAAAAATAAGTAACGCTAAAAGACGTAAATGAATATGACGTCATAACGTGCGAAAACAAAGAAAATTGACGTTTTTGACATTAATACAACTGAAAAACGTTAAAAACTAACCTATTACCTATCTAACTCTCGTAGAGAGTTATTATATTCCTTGCTATCTACTTTTATGTGTTGAAATTTCAATAGTGATTCTAAGTGATACCACAAGTGAAACTATGTACGTGTAAAAGGAAATTCAATAGTTCCGTATTATTCCTTACTAAATAGCAAATGTGGATTTAACAAAACTTTGGATCGTGTCATTTTCTTCACTTTATCTAATACTAACTTCCGTCCGCGGTATCCGAGTACCTATGTTGTTAAAAGTGTTTTGTATCGACATACCAAATTTTACCTAAATCGGTCAATCCGTTTTTGCGTGAAAGAATAACAAACATACATATGGGTAGGATAGTAAGATAGTAGGATAGTAGTATTCTTTCTTATCTTGTATTTCTGCAATCTTACAGGTATCCTAGTATCTCTAGCGACAATGTTGTTCGTGGCTGTATGCAACATCGGTTGGGACGGGTTTTCGACGCGCGTCTCCTACACTATCAATCTGGTCGCCATAGGTGTGGTTGCGTTTGGCTGCACCGTGCAACAAGCTTCGTACTACGGGTTCACGGGATGTCTGCCACCGAGATACACCCAGGCTGTCATGGCAGGCGAAAGTAAGTTCTAAAATCTTTGACTTACAGCTGCTTAAACTAATTTATTTTACACTTCTTACACTATGTACAATAGCCATGGCCTTTTACGCCTTAGGCGTTCTCTGCCAGTCTACTTTTGGGTGGTGGAGCAATAGGAGTGGATTTTGCAGTTATGTTAACAATAAAATTAATGACTTTCTCAAGTGACGAGGTGAAGGACTCTTATAATAAAAAAATACCATTGAGTTCCCAAACACATTTGAACAATAACTAAGTGTTCATATCAGCAATTTGCCTGCAGCAAACATTTTTATGAAGATTGTTTCCTTGCTTTGATCTTCTAAGTCGCTTTTAACAGTGCTTCTTTCCTAGGTGCCGCCGGTTTTTGGGTATCGCTGGACCGGATTGTCACCAAGTACGGTTTCCGTCAGCCGCAAAGAAGCACATTCATGTTCTTTGTGTTCTCCATACTGATCCTGCTGGGACATTCGATGCTGCACCATGTTATGATGCGCCACCCTCTCGTGCAACACTATCTTCGGCTGACCAACGAGTCGAGACATAGGAGACGCATTCAACTGCATTTAAACCCCAATGAGGATGCTACTTTGGTAAGACTAAGAATAAAGGGGATATGTATTCTTATACACATTCTATGAAGTTTTCATTGGCGAATATGGTCTAAAATGCATAATGTTATACCTAGTACAATTTCAGATGGAAAGCGAGGCTGGTGAAGCAAGTTACGGAGTATTGAAACTTCAGAGCCCTGTACTATCAACTACTGGACAAGGTAACTGCATGAGATTTTTCTTAGGGCTGACTTTTCAATAGTCAGGTAAATGTTATCTGAAGAATAAAATTGTTGCTGTCACTGTCTTATACAAACATTCTTACGCGACAGCATCATAATTATATTCCTCAGATAACTTTTATCTAACCATTGAAAAATCTGCCTCTAACAAAATAAGACAATCGAATAGGTACTGAGCCATTTGACGCTGGCTGTTTTCAACTGGCTAATTTAGAATCTGGAAGTCATTAGAGGAATCTTGTGTCTAGCAGTGAACGTCATATTGCTGATTGCATCATGAATTTTATTCTAAAAAATACTTCCTTTTCATAGAACAGTTAAAACAAATCAGGCTTTCAATTATGGTGCACTTTTTTATAGCAATGTGTTATGCATTTATTCTTTAAATTTTTCAATTTTGTAATTAATTTATGAATTAGCCAAATATTGATGTCTCGCAGGGTTTGTGCCAATGAGCACTGACAATAATATTTATTGTTTTCAGGCGAAATCGAAACAAACGCATTTAGTTTCGCCAACCCTGTTTACTCGCCAACTGCTGGCGCCCCAGTCCCAGCAGAGGGCGCTGTAGAGCCATTTGGAGACGGCGTGACTTCAGAAACGTCGTCAGCCCTGCGTACCCCTCGACCTTCCTACAAAGTTGAAGACGTCGTCTTCGAGGCTCCCGAAAGACCTACTTCATGGAGAGCGTTCAAACGTAAGTTTAGATCTAAGGGTTAGCTCTCTATCGTTTGGGGTATCTAGAAGATTTTTATATGCTGCTATAACGGTTTTTTTGGAAATTTATTATAAATATACACATGAGACACTTGAACAACAGTTTACTAAGCAGTTATAAAATTAAATACAAGATAAATATCTCTACAGTCCATCACCAGATGTAAAAATGTTAAAAGAATCAATACCTTCTTTTTCTAAACGACTATTGATACAGGTGGCGTGTTGGCTCGCTGGGCGGTGGCCCGTGCCATCTATCCGTACATGGTATCCATCGGGCTGGTGTACTTCACCACGCTCAGTCTGTACCCTGGCATAGCGTCTGAGGTCCCCTCCTGCCGCCTCGGGACCTGGATGCCCATCATACTCATGTCCTCCTTCAATCTATTCGACTTCATCGGAAAAGTAAGTAATCTCAACATTTGCATTTAGAATGTTGTGTGATTGAATTACAGTTTAAAAAATAATCGCCAGAATATTTACGAAAAAAACAGGTATACGAGTAGCAACCCAGCATAGTAAGAATCTTATTATTTTCGAAAAAATGAAAAACAGTTCAAACTATTTTATGTGAATTTTCCTTGACCAGCTGAAAAAATAAATAAGTATAGTATAGATACCCATATCATTAGACAAAAATAAAGTATTCAATTTTATATGTCCTATTTTTAAGGGTTTCTAATTTTTTTTATTTAGGTCGGCCAGTACTTCACTTGTTAATTGAACGTTACCAAACTATTTTATTTTTTTATAGCCGGTCGGAAAGAATACATAACCATTAAACTTATAAAAAAATTAATACTCTTTTCTTTTTAAAATAATATATGGCGATCTCTTCTTTTTTCCACCGTCACCGGCCAGCTTCGGTTCGTAATTTGTTATTTGAATAATACTACCAAACTTTTTCACTAAAAATATCATAGATAGCAGCTGCTTGGCCGTATGAGTGGAGTCGCAGCCAACTGCTGATGGCGAGTGGTCTGAGGCTACTGCTCGTTCCTTTGATGTTGCTGTGCGCTGCCCCCAGACATTCTCCGCATATCGTTGGGGACGTACGTATACTTTATTATTTTCATAAATTATGATTATGATTATCGAATGTAATTTCTAATAAGTACCTACAATAATTACTTGCACATTTTTGTATACTAGATACGTACTTGTTAAGAATGACCTTAATGATTGAATTACATTTCAGGTCTATCCAATACTATTTTCCGTGGCATTAGGTTTTTCAAATGGTCTGTTTGGCTCCGTACCAATGATACTAGCGCCATCTCGTGTCGGTCGGGAGCATCGGGAGATTGCTGGTGAGTTGAACTCTGTGATAAACCTTCATCATTTGAAATTCCAATTATTTTCTATATAATAAATAACAATCTAGTCTAAGTAAAACCCATTTCAAAACAAATTCTTATTTATCTTCAAATTTGAGATAGGTATACCTAATTATTCATTTGTTTTTACCACCAGGAAACATGATGACTTTGTCATACAACGGCGGTTTGCTATCGGGTTCTCTAGTGTCCTACCTTCTTCTGGGTATGCTGGGCCCGCCAGCTGGAGCCCCCTGCCGCGTGTACCCCACACCACCACTGCCCACTCTTCCACCAGCTACGCCACCTAACGTAACCTTCGCGGTCACTATATCGCACTAAACGCTTCATAGTACGCAACATAAATAAGAGATGGCAGCACATATAACAAATTAGTATACAATTATTAACCAGAACCAGATATTTGAATTAGTTAAATAATGAATAGCTACAAGTTATAGGTACCTTAAATGCTAGTATTAGAAATCACGCAAAATTGAAATTTTAGGAAACTTTAATACGTCACTGAGATTATCGTTCTTGTGCTCACCAAATGGCGGTCCTGGTTATTGAGGTCTAATTCGAATTTGAGAAGTTGTGCATATCACAGTCGATATTAAATACTAAGGACGATGACTCCAGAGATCAAAACTACAACCAGCGCCCCTAGCGATGAGCTCAAGAACGATAGCCCCCCAAAAACACTGAATGACTTGTTTTTTTACAATACTGACCATAAACTAAACAATAAATGTGAAATTACTTTTATTACGAAAGGAAAAATCCGAAAAGGTTATCATATGAAAAAAAATTTACCGAATGCATTGCAATGATAATTTCATACTGAAATATCTTAATCAATAAAAATCTAAGCTAAGTAATTGAATAATCTAGTCGTTTTACAAGAATAATTGTATATTTTTGGTATGTAGTTAAGAAATTCTTGCATTAATTCATAAAAATATACGTTAAGTTAATTAAAAATAAGTATGCCTCTTGTTTTAGTTTTTCAGAATTTGTACAAATTGAAATGTCCGAGTTTGCTAATCTATCCAGTCCCCACCTAGGTACCTAATAATTTCGGTATTACCAAATCAGTTTAGTATGATATGATAGTATAAAATAAGCGTTAATTAAGACTGCGTCTATCTATTGGGATTGGGACTATTACCGTCAAAACTCACATTGTGTCCAATGGTTTATTACATAAATTGAAAACCTGATACATAGAGACTTCAAATCTACACTAATATTATCTAAGCTTTAAGCTTAAGAGTTTGTTTGTTTGTTTGAACGCGCTAATCTCGGGAACTACTGATTCGAATTGCAAAAATCTTTTCGTGTTTAATATAGGTACCATTTATTGAGGAAAGTTTAAGGCTATAAAACGTCACGCTACGATCTGTAGGAGCCAAGCAGCTGGTGAAACCGCGTGAGAGAAACTAGTAAAATATAAATTATTTGCTTACGATTTAATTTGGAATTTAATCTGAGTAAGTAATTAAAATCAGTACCTAATAGTTAAGTACAAACGCCGTAAAATGTATTAAGTATACTTCTCATCGAACTCTTGCTATTAAAGTTAAATAGGCACTTCGCAAAATAAAAAACAATAAAAATAATGTAGATACTACACACACCAGCACGTAAAACTACCCCAATCTGTCAAATTGCATCAATAGATTTTAAAGGTTATTAGCTTGTGTTGAAGTATAAAATCTATTGACAAATCGGGATAGGATTAAGTGCTGGCGGATTGTAACATTAAACAAAAAAATAATAAACCCTATTATTTAAATTTTTGCTTAAAATGGAATGAGAAAATTCTAGAGAGACTGAAAAACGTGTAAGGCAGAGAATGGAGTGACTTATGACTGTTGTAATTAAGAATGTATTTTAAGGTAAATATCAACTTTACTAATGTGAAATGGCTACCTCTTGCTTTTCTACTTACAATTTGTTCTACATGTAGATAGAAAGTATTGTACATAGCACCTGTGTAAATAAATTTAACAATTAAATAGATACATATCTGGATATGTCTGTTTGTTTTTATTTGAACATCGATGTATACTTAATACCGCCAACGTATCTTGGCGAGTCTGAAGTTAGCCGATTAGCTGCGCAGTACACAATTTTGTTCCTAAAAGATCCATTGCGCAGACAAACGGCTAACTTCAGACTCGCCAAGATACGTCGGCCGTACTGTATATGCGACGATCTCCGGCCACCGTAAGCGCGCGCCACAATGGCGTGCAAGGGCACGTAGCTTGCCAATCGACTAGAACCAGACCCGAGCGTAAGGCGCGTAGAGTTGCGCGTGCGCCTCAGAAAGCCAATAGACCTACACACATGGGGCCTATGTTCAGCTGGTGTTTTGGGTCAAACCCAATAATGTATCCTGGAGCAGAAGAAGGAATAGTCTGATTTTTAGTCAGTAAGAGCCTGACACTCCCTCTCGCTTTGCCCTGGGTGAGAGTTTGATGTTTTCTCCTCACAAAAAAGTGTCAATGTTGGTACGAAGCCAAAAGAAAAAGTTTCCTTTTAAGGACGGATAACCTGATGGTAGTGATGGTGACCCACGTGGACACGTGGCAAAACCAAAGGATTTACGAGTGTTAAAAACGATACTTTCCAATCGTACACCCAACATCGGAGGAGTTACGAGTGCGTTGCCGACCTTTTGACGATTAGGGATTTGGAGATTTTGGAATTGGGGACATATTGGGCCTTCGGTAACTCCACTCACACAGCGAAACACAACGTTGTGGTTGTTCTACGCCGGTTTTCTGTGAAGCCGTGGTTACTCCGGTCGAGCCGACTCATTCGTGTCAAAGCATAGCTCTCACGCAATTTAAAATAATTTATTTCTGATCTAGGAAAGTCAGCACCCAGCTTTACTAACAAACCGACTGACAGACTACTATTAATTTTGACGTGTCAAAAGCACAATTTTTATGATTTTTGGAATAAATGATTTTGACAATACGCAATCACAAGTCGCAGCAACATTCAAATTTTTTTAATCTTTCCTTGCACCTACTATGATAATGGGATAAATGGATAAAATGATATATAGAGATATATGGTATATTATGAAAAATCCACCTTAATTATGATTTAGCTTTAGAAATAAGTGGCTGAATAGGAAAACAAGCCTTTATAAAATTCCAATACATTGTTCTTCACAGTTATCTGCCTGCGATTACTTGTACCTACGTCACTTTTGGATCACGCACTCCGCAGACCACTGCTTATCCTTAAACGAGGGCACGTATTAACCGTTGCTATGACAACGTCGGTGGTACGATATCCAAAAACGAAAGCATCATCTCAGTATACTAATAAACTTCACTTCCAATCTTATCTATCGACTTTCGACGCGTTGTTTTTGTTTTTTTTTCAGCAATTTTATTACTTTATTAATTGCAAAAATATCGCAACCAATTATTTTTGCAAACGATATTGGATAATTACAATTATATTGTAGGTACATACGAACGTTACACTTTTTAAATTGTTTGTAAGTAAGTAGTAAAATTGTTGTTCACGGCTCTATCTATTTTTAGATGTTTGTTATAAGAAACGCTCTTGAGTAGTTTTAAATCTATACCTTATAATATATAAGGTGCCTATTACGACTGCATCAGTTTAATGACACGTTAAAAGTACACAAACTCATTTAATAGAATGCCTTTAGAGGGTTAGTATAGATTTGGGCATTGTAGATGGAGTAGGGCAGATCTGGGCCTCCGGTATCCTCACACACATAGCGTAAACCAAGCGTAGCGTTTTTAAGACCCTGGTTTCATTTTCCAATGTATTCTTATTGACTACTGGTTGACCCGGCGAACTCCGTACCGCCTCCGAATTAACTTATCTTATGTTTTTAACCTTCCCTGGACTTCTACAAATATTTCAAGATCAGAATTAACCAAATCGGACCAGTCATACGTCATCTTATATTATGTATAAGACTCGATTTTGCCCGCGACTCCGTTTTCGTGGAATAGTGACTTCCTGCAGATTTTTGGTATAAAAACTATCCTATGTCCTTTCTTGAGTTCCAAACTATGTCTGCAATAAATTTCACAGTAATCGCTTCAGTAGTTTCTGCGTGAAGAAAAAACAGACAGACAGAGTTACTTTCGCATTTATAATATAAATACAGATTGAAATACCTCTCTCACGCTTAAACTAACTGCGCCAATTCGAATGGAAAATTAACATTTCATTTGTTTACTTTAAAAAAATATAAAAGTTTGTCTCGCTTTAATGGCTTTGATAAAGTCAAAAGTTTAATTAACACTAAGTCAATTGATAAATAATAGCAAAGGTCGTCCTATTTTTAAAGAGGTCTGTCAAACTGTGGAACTTGTTTCTGGCGGTTTCTCGTAGTTTACTATCCCAGTTGATTACGATCTGATAATAATTAATAATTAATTGACAACACTAATTAGAACAAAATTGAGCATCATTTGAAGAAGTAGCTATATTGAATTATTTATAATATGTAATTTATGAATGAAAGACTCGATGCTACCATGTGAAATATACTTCGAACCATCAGTAATGACTAAACTGAGTATTTAAGTACAGTCAGCTAATATATTCCTCAAATTTTAATGACTTGTACTTTCTTAAAACTGTAGGTAATATAAAGATATAAGTATGTTTTAATTTATTTTTTTAAACTTTATGCAACATATCATTACGTAGGCGGACTTAATAACCATAGTAATAATGTATAAAATTTTCACTACTGCCTTATATCAGAACATTTATCAGTGAAGTGTTATTCTGATCCGAGGGCAATGTCCCTACGCGTGATATATGCCAAGTTAATACATATACCTAATCGTCTTTGTCATTCATAAACGTAAGTACCTAAGTACTTGTTCTCACTGGTTATATTACATAAAGTATCATTTATATTATACTAGCCACCCATCCCGGCTTCGCACGGGTATTTCACCACTATTTAATAGATGGTATTAGGTATACATACAAACCTTCCCTTACAATCACACTATAAGAACTTGTTATAAAACCGCATCAAAATCCGTTGCGTAGTTTTAAAGATTTTAGCGTACATAGGGATATACATATGGACAAAGAAAGTGACTTTGTTTTATACTATATAGTGACTAAAGTAACCATTGGACGGATGATATAGATATTGTAACCAAAAAATATTATTTAAGACTAGCTTTTGCTCGCGACTTTGTTCGCGTGGAATAGTGACCTCCTGCAGATTTTTGGTTTAAAAACTATCTTATGTCCTTTCTCGAGTTCCAAACTATGTCTGTACCAAATTTCACACTAATAGGTTCAGTAGTTTA